AACGACCTGCAGGCGCATCTGCCGCAGCCAGCTTTCATGCAGCTAATGCGCGTGATGTTATTGGAGACTCTGGCGCCTGTGGTGGAGAAAACCGCCGAGGACCTTGGTTACTCGGGAATTCAAAAAGTCGGCAATGTCTCGACGTCGTTTTCCTGCTGCAGCTTGTCTGGCTGCGGTTCTGTCCACAAAGCACTCCGTGATCGCAGGGGGCATTAAGGCTTTTTTCGACAACATGGAGCCCTTGCGTGTGGTGACGTGCGTGATCTCCTGGTCTTCTGGGATGTAAGCACTGCCGCTGTCGCCGCCATCGCCAGGCTGCATCTGGTCCCGGATGTTTCTTAGCCATCTTGGGCGATGCTGGTCGGTTGACCAGCGGCCAGGATGCTTTTCGACGGGCACCAGAAGTGCGGGCTTGTGTTCCCGCGTGCCCGTGGTACACTTGCTGGGCGGCGCCAGAGACATTTCCGACGGGCTCTCTGCCGCCTTCGGACCGCCAGCTGCTCCAGCGCAGGTTTGCCGGCCTTGTGGGCAGACAGATGCTACTCGGCCACGATCCGTCGAATTGTGCAGGTGATTGCACAGAACTTGCAGAGGTACTTTGGGGAATATTGCACTGAACCCTTCCTCCGGGGAGATACTGCTTCGTTCGATCTGGCTCGAATTTCAGAGCGCGATCACCTCGGCGTCTGGGCAGTTCAGAAGGGCTTCTTGCGTGCCCTCGGTTCCCCGATCCAGGCCGACGGGTCGCAGCTCGCCGTGCTCGACGCAGCAGCCTCGAAGGCATGGAGGAGGAGGAGGAGGAGGAGGAGGAGGAGGAGGAGGAGGAGGAGCAGGAGGAGGAGGAGGAGGAGGTCCCTGCGCGGCTCGCCGCGCAGAACACGGCCCGGGCAGCGTTGGCCGGGCCCGCCGCTTCCGGCACCGCCTTTCGCGGGTCGGGGGTGGACAGAACCCCCGCCCTGACGCGTCGATTAGCGAATTGTCCGTTTTCGGTTCTCGAGAGGGCGCCGCGGCCGTCATTTTCCAGGCTTGCGCCCGCCAGGTTTGGGCCCGAGGTCGTTTTCACTAAACCACGTTATACTAAAGGGGGGTCTGTCCATTCCCGAGCGGGCTGCGCCGGCGCCGACGCTGCGGAAACGCCTGGACGCAGCGCAAAGGAGCAAGGTTAACATGATGCGCTGGCCGATCCGCGCGCCCCGGGGACAGCAGTCGAGCCCCGCGGAGGCTGCGGCGGCCTTCCGGCGGCCATCAGCAAGCTGATCTCTGAGCACGGGGGGCCTTGGCGATAGCGGCGGCAGGCCCTCGGTGGGAGCTGGCGCGCGTATTTTCAGGGGCACTGGCGCACGCCAGCCGCCAAGGCGCTAGCCGCTGCAGACGGCCATGCCGCAGCCCGTGTGACAGCCCGAGCGGAGAATTGTTTCCGGGGCAGGGAGAGGGCGCCTCGACACTAGACGAGAGAGAGGGGGGCCCATTTGGTGGGTCGAGCATGCGCGATTCAGTAGACCTCTTGAAGTTCGTCTCGCCAGCCTGTGGGAGACCATTGCCAGTGCGCTGATTCTACCAGCGCCTAGTAGCACATGTCTTTAACAAGAATTCCGAGTTTCTTACCACCCTCGTCCGGATCTACATTCGGTGGTGTTGGAAGGGTCGAACCCGTTGTGCTTGGGCACCAATGCGTCGGAGTTTGTTCGAGGAGGGGCAGGAGAAAGCGGGAGGGGGCTGGAATAAAAAACGAAAACGGCATATGTTTACTGGTGTTTGCGCGGATTTCTTGTACCGGCGCTGGGCCCCTCTCCCCAGCGCGCGGAGCGCGCCAGGCTGCGCCAGGGGCGGTGCCAGAGGCGCGGCCAGGCCGTTCTTGCGCCCACCCTAGAACTCTTCGTGGATCTCCGAAGGTTTATGTTCTGTTAACGCAGCGTCCATGTCGATCCGAGCGATCCGATTCGATATCGACTCCAGCCAGCCCTGTCCGATTCGATTCCGATGCTCCCACGATCCGATGCCATGCTTGCATGGCGTTGTCGCGCATCCTGGCGCAGCCGATTCCATTCGATTTCGACTCCGTGCCGATGCAGCCTGACTCTGTGCACATTCCCGATCCGATTTCCCGCTTCGATGCGGATCGATCCCGCTTCAAGAAATTCGGAGCACAGTCTGAGCCCAGAAGTGACAGAGATTGGAGGCGTAGAGGTTGATACCAACGCTCGTATCGGCGGTGTGCTTCTGCCGAAGGGTGGTGATCCCGATGGTGATGGTGGTAAGATTCGGGTTTTCTAGGTGGCCGAAACATTACTACCAACACTGAAGTTTAGGATCAGCTTCCCCCGATGGACGCCCCCCTGTTTTAGTGATGCTGATTATTTCGAAGACTCCAGAAAGCAGCGTGTCAGGACAGCGAGAGGCACTTCATGCAGCACGCGTGGCGTTCACCGCGCGTATCGAGTGAGGCTTCCATTTTCCAATTCCGCTTGCTGTGGCCTTCGTGGAAGGCCGCTTGCCAGGCGCTTCCTGCCTCCTCTGCAGGGGCGCTGGGTCCTCTCCGGCGATGCCGGGCTTCGTCCGTTCGCTCCGAGCCGCCACAGAACGCGCCCCGAAGTGCGCACCGCGGCCACGGCCGCCTCGAGCGGGCCACAAACGTCCCGCCCCCTCCCCAGAGGGCGGGAGGAGGAGGGCGAGGAGGGCGAGGAGGGCGAGGACGAGGACTAGGAGAAGGAGGAGGACGAGGAGGAGGAGGAGGAGGCGGAGGAGGAGGAGGAAGAGGAGGAGGAGGAGGAGGAGGAGGAGGAGCAGAAGGAGGAACAGGAGGAGCAGGAGGAGGAGGAGGAGGGACGTTCTGCGCGTCTCGTCTCGTCGTCGTCGTCTTGCCTCCATAGAGAGGCCCGGCCGACGGTGCGCCTCCAGGCGCGCGCCTCTTCTGCGCCGGCAGGGAGCTCCACGACGAGACGAGGCGCCGCGCCGCGTCCGCTCTTGGGCTCGTCGTGTTCCTCGGGTCGGGGGGAGCTGCCCAAGGAGCAAGCTGCCCCCCTGAGGGGGGCAGTATGATGATGATGATGATGATGATGATGATGATGATGATGATGATGATGATGATGATGATTTCGATGATGATTTCGATGATGATAATGATGGTGATAATGATGATGATGGTGATGGTGATGATGATGACGGTGATGATGATGCTGCTAGTGCTGACGCTGATGCTGATGCTGATGCTGATGCTGATGCTGCTGATGCTGCTGATGATGATGCTGAGGGTGATGATGATATTGTGATTATGATGATGATGTGGATTATGAGGATGATGATGATGAGGATGAGGATCATGGTGATGGTGTTGGTGATGGATGATGTTGCTGATGTTGATGGTGACGGTGGTGGTGATGATGACGACGACGATGACGATCACGATGATGGCGACGATGATGTTGATGATAATTATGATGATGATGATGATGATGATGATGATGATGATGATGATGATGATGATGTTGTTGATGATGATGATGTTGATGATGATGCTGGTGCTGGTGCTGATGCAGATGCTGATGATGATGGTGCTGATGATGATGTCGATGATGCTGATGAGGATGGTGATGATGATGGTGATCGTGATGGTGATGATGATGTTGATGATGACGATGATGATGTTGGTGGTGGTGATGATGAGGATGATGATGATGGTGATGGTTATGGTGATGGATGGTGATGATCATGTTCATGATGCTGCTGCTGTGATGGTGATGGTGATGATGATGATGATGATGATGATGATGATGATGATGATGCTGATGATCGCGGTGGTGGTCGCTGGTGGCGGTGGCGGTGGCGGTGGTGATTGTGATTGTGATGATGGTGATGATGCTCATGGTGATGATGATGATGCTGATGCTGGTGGTGATACTGGTGACGATGATGATGATGATGATGATGATGATGATGATGATGATAATGATGATTGTGTTGCTGGTAGTAGTGATGATGCTGCTGATGGTTCTGACGATGCTGATGATGGTCATGATGGTGATGATGACGGTGGTTCGGATGATGATGATGATGATGATGATGATGCTGATGATGATTATGTTGATGCAGTTGATGATGATGATGCTGCTGATGCTGATGGTGATGATGATGATGCTGCTGGTGCTGGTGCTGATGCTGATGCTGGTGCTAGTGATGACGATGATGATGATGAGGATTCTGAGAATGATGATGATGATGATGATGACGATGATGATGATGATGATGCTGATGCTGATGCTGATGCTGATGATGATGATGATGATGATAAGGATGAGGATGATGGTGATGGTGATAGTGATGGATGATGATGCTGATGGTGATGATGATCACGATGACGATGACGACGACGACGACGACAATGGTGATGATGATGCTGATGCTGATGATGACGCTGATGATGCTGGTGCTGATGCTGGTGCTGATGATGCTGCTGATGATGATGCTGATAATGATGTCGAGGATGCTGATGATACGGATGATGATGTCGATGATGATGATGATGATGATGATGATGATGATGATGATGATGTTGGTGATCGTGATGGTGATAATGACGGTGATGCTGATGATGATGACGACAACGATGGTGGTGGTGATGCTGATGATGAGGATGTTGATGCTGATGATGATGGGGATGGTGATGGTGATGGTGATGGATGGTGATGATCATGAGGATACTGAGGATGATGATGATGATGATGACGATGATGACGGTCATGATGGTGATGATGATTGTGATTCGGATGATGATGTTGCTGCTGATGATGATGATGCTGATGCTGATGCTGATGATGATGCTGGTGCTGGTGCTGATGCTGATGCTGATGCGATGATGATGCTGATGATGATGCTGATGATGATGATGCTGAGGATGACGAAAATGAGGATAATGCGGATGATGACGTAATGATGATAATGTTTATGATGAAGGTGATGCAGCTTCTGATGCCGATGCTGATGTTGATGATGAGGTTGATGATGTCGAATATGATGATGATGATGATGATGATGATGATGATGATGGTGGTGGTGGTGGTGGTGGTGGTGGTGGTGATGATGATGATGATGATAATGTGATGATGATAATAATAATGATGATGATGATGATGATTATGATGATGATGATGATGATGATGATGATGATGATGATGATGATGATGATGATGATGATGGTCATGATGGTGATGATGACAATGCTGATGATTATTCTGATTATGATGATGAGGATGATGATGGTAATGGTGATGGTGATGATGATGCTGATGATGCTGATGATGATGATGATGATGATGATGATGATGATGATGATGATGATGGTGATGGAGGAGTAGGAGTACGACGAGGAGGAGGAGGAGAATCTACGTGCTGCCCTCACCAACGGGTCCAAGGATGCGCTTCTCTGTGCCAGCCATTTTTGCCTTGGGCAAGGGGGCGGCAAGGGGTCTTCCCCCTGGGGCACCGCCCGCTCAGTCCCTTTCTCCAACTCGGTGTCTTCTTCCTCCGAGCCCTGCGGAAGGGGGAGAGTTCCCAAGTCGGGTTGGGGAAGGGGCGGTTCAAGCAGCGTTGGGTCAAGGATCAGTCCTTGAATGCGATCGCAATATCAATATCATAAGCGTAGATCTCGGGTCTGCTAGCCTTCCTGTTCAATCGCATGCTCCCTAGCACCTGCGCTCGATCACTGGACCATTCCTCCTCACTTTTGTCCTCAGCAATCGCTCCCCAAGCCACCCTTCATCTGGCTGATCAGTCCACACGCTTTATCGGCCGACTCGAGCGGTGATGTTGCCACAGGCAGCGACAGGGCAGACCGTCCCGCTCGCCCATCGAAGCTGGCCCTTGGGCTCGTGATGCTGCCTGCTGATGTGGATCTCACGCGACATTTCAGACTGCGTGTGCCTGTCACGATGAGAACATTGGTACTCCTGGACTCGTGGCGTGGTTTCCCCAACGTCGGGCTTGATCCAGGAGTTCCCGCTTATCTCCTGGATCTTCTGTCTCCAGGCCTGGTTGGCAGCCTCTTGCACCCCAAGGACACTTGCTTCATGTGACACTGCGTGACAATCATGATGAAAGCTTCCGGCGACACTTGCGACCTGGATCCGTTCCTGCGGTTCCTTCTTGGAGTACTTGATGGGGTCCCTCTCGTCCATGCAGCTACTGTCGAGCCAATCAAGGTCACTCCTTAATGACTCCACCCATCCCCCCTGCCTGTGCCACACATCATCCGACAGTTCCGCAAGCTGGGGGGGGGCCAGGAACCTCGGCACGTATCTCAGCCCGGCCAAACTGGTGTAGATCTGGGGCAACACCGTGCCTCCGAGGACACTCGCCGTGCATGTGTGCTGCTCCGCGTGATTCGTACGCGAGAGCCCCATGGCCATTTTGTAAGCAGCGCGCTGGTGATGGCCTTTGTCAGAGGCGGCCACGCCACGCGCACTCAAGACCAGGCGCCCGACGAGAAGGGGCAGGATGAGGAGGACCAGGATTAGGTGGAGGAGGAGAAGCAGGAGGAGGAGGAGGAGGAGGACGAGGAGAAGGAGGTGGAGGAGGAGGAGGAGGAGGTGGAGGAGGAGGAGGAGGATAAGGAGGGAGGAGGAGGAGGAGGAGGAGGAGGAGGAAGAGGAGGCCGAGGAGGTGGAGACCAGGCGTAGTGGAAATTGTCCGCATGGCAGGCCCAATCCGGCCTTCGTGGAGATGATCCCAGCTCGAACGTCTGGCCCCATGCCTAACTGGTCATTGACTCGGCATCGCTCGGACGTACGCGTGATTTCTCGGCGGAGACCATCGAGGAGCATTCTGTGTCATCGAGCAAACAAAAAGCATGCACGACATCGAAACATGCACGGGTAATGTTCTCGTTTTCTTATTCATTGTTTCGCGCTGATCGGCGCGGGCCCTCGCACCCCCTCGTCCCCCGTATGGAGTAGATCTTGGCTGTTTTTGTTTGCGCCTATTTCGAGCAGGCGGAGTCTCCCCCACAGGACGCAATGTTGCAAACAGACGCATTAACTAGAGGTCTGGAGCCAGACCCTCCCCTCTCGTCCCTTCCGCCCAACGTCGAAACGCCGAATAAGAAAACGTTCACAGTGGACGTCCGAGCGATGGCGAGTGAATCTTTGTGCTCAGCGTCTTCATGTCCCAAGCAATTCGAAACCTTGGCGGCCCCCTGGGCTAAGCTCGATGTGCTTTTTGGCGCCTCTCAGGCAGTCGCCTCTCGCGTCCCCATTTCCCCTCCCCCCCCCCTGAGGCAGAGGAGCAAGACGGATTTATCGATGTTGATGGTAAGCTTTCGTTCGCTCGTGCGCTGGAGCAGTATGCTAAAGAGCTGTCTAGCATCCTCCTCTAGGCTATCAATGTTTGCTTGCACAACTGCCGTGAGATCGTCCTCAAAGGAAACTGCAGCTGTGTTATTTATCCGCTGGTCTGTGGCCCGAAACAAAGCCTCCTGAATGTCGGGCTTATAACCAGATACAGCGCCGCCATGTCACAACTCCGGGCGCCTCTCCCATTTGCCACCAAGCGCCATGGTTGGCTTTCGAAATGAGCGCCGCCAGGTGCCGGTCTCGGCGCTAGAGCTGTAACTTGGCGGGCTCCGACATGGCCTGGGCAACGGCATTCCGATAAGCTTCTGGGATCTCAGAGTTATGTAACATGTCCTAGATGGTTTCTGGAGCCAGAAAAAGTTGATCTTCAAGACGAAATCGAAAACATCCAGGCGAAGTGGCCATGTGACATCAAAGCACTCTCCCTTGATTTGGCTAAGGACCCCAAGTGTGGGGAGACCGAATGCGAAAAGAGAACGTACAGATGTGGCTGAGTTGTATGACAAGGGGCCAGGTCGCAGGGGTTTGGGCCAGCCCCCCTTGCAAGTCGTGGAGTTAAGTGAGGTTCCAAGAGGTTGAGTTTCCCGGGCCCCGCCCCAGGCGCCTTCGTTTTTTGGCCAAGCCATGGGGGAGGAGGGACCTCACCAAGAGGGAAAGCGAAAAGGTCTCCACTGACCACGTCCTTCTCAGAACCGCGACTTGGTTTTTATGCGCTGCCCACTTGTGGGAAGTGCCAGGAGGAAGGGAGCACCCCGAGTGGCCAACAAGGCCACAGGGTCCCTCCTCGTGGAAGCTGGCGGAGGTCAAGTCCTTGCCGGCCCTGCAGGGAGTGAGGGCCATCAGCCTGGACCACTGCTGTTCCCAGACCCCCGACGTCGTGATTTTTTCATTGCGTCGACCCCTGAAGGTCTCGACCCATTCCCCTGGACCGGTCTTTCATCCTGAGTCGTTTTTTGGCGGTCCCGAGGGCCAGTACGGGCCCCCGAAGCCCGAAAATAGCGAAAATCTTCCCGTCGTGATTTTGTCATGACTCGAGGGGGTCTGGGTTGGGGGGCCCCCCAGCGTCAGGCCTACTCGGCTCCTTGCACGTCCACGTGAGCCGCTCTGCGGATGCCGTCACCGGTGGCAGGGCAGGCGGCACCCGCAGGGTGCTGCACGGCGGGGCACCCGACGGGTCTTGGCATACGCCGCCTGCTCATCGCTGCCCACCAAACCACCCCAACCCAACCCGAAGGCCTCAACTTGCCCTCCATTTCCAGTGGGGGGCGGGGTCCGGGAACACGGGAAGAACACATAATTATGGAGCAGGAGCCTCTGGACCGCTGGCCTGGGTGTGGTGTCTCAGACGAGCGCCAACCCGACCCTGGCAAGACTTCAGCGCCCCAGGCTCGCGCAGGAGAGCCCCCCCCCCCCGCACAGGGCCCAGGCAGTGGCCGAGTGCCAGCCTGCGGCGGAGTGAGATGCAGTCGGCAGCTCATGGCAGGGATCGCACGGCATTGGGATGCGGGGGTCGGCGGCGCTTTTTTCCTGGGGGGGCGTTCGAAGTGCGGTATTTTTTTGGCTGGGGGTGCGTTAGGTCACCCAGAGGCCTTCTCCGAGCTAGGCCCAGACGGGGCCCCCAGGCTGTTTCTCTGAGGCTTCTCCGGCCCGGGGTGCTCCACGAAGGGCAGGGCCAGATCCCTGGTGACCTCCTGCCCTCCCTTGATCCAGTTGGACTTGAGTGCGCCGCTGCCCATGGGGAGGGATTTCGCGGCAGGCAACCGATTCCGACGTTCGTCCATGGATTTCTGAGTGAGTCAGGGCTTTCTCATTTGCCCCACCCTTTGGGTCCCCCCCCCAGTTCTTGGGCCCTGGCCGGGTTGCTCGCTCTTCTTGGCCCGCCATTGCTCTTTTCTTCCCGCGCATCAGTCGGCTGTTGCCGCCTCGTCTCTTCTCGGATCGGCTACATCGTTGCTTGCCTTGCCAATGTTCTAAGGACAAGGAGGCGGATTTGGAGGAGGAGGAGGAGCATCTGGAGGACGAAGAGAATGAGGACGATGATGAGGACGAGGGGGGAAAGGGGGATGGGGATGGGGATGAAGGAGGAGGAGGAGGACCAGTGTAAAGCCAACATTCATCTTTTCGTAGGCCCCTACCAGGGTTCATTTCCACTGAGGGAACTGTCTCGTTGGGAGACAACCGTTTGAAGACGCTGAAGTGTGCCAGATATCATTCTTGAGACTCCAACGCCACGAATCATCCTGACCGCTGCGTTTTGAGGATCGTGAAGCGTGCCAGAACACCATCCCTGGGACTTCAACACCGCGGATCTACATACTTGTTGCGCCCTCACAGGCCTGAGTCCTTCCAAAACACCGTTTCTGGTATGCTGACCACCGGAGTCCGTGAAACTCCAGGCAAGTGTTTAAGACGAGTGTGCGCGGCGATAAGGCGAGAGCCACATTTTGAAAAGGAGGAACTTTCAATCCGTGCACCTCTTGCAGATTTCAAAGACGAAAGTGCGCGGCGCTAAGGCGAGACTTACATTTCGAAAACGCACATTTAAACTTGAAAGTGCGCAGCGCTGAGGCGAGAGCCACATTTGGAAAACGACCCGCCCTCAATCCGTGTAACTCTTTGCGCATTTTTAAGATGAATGTGCGCGGCGCTAAGGTGAG